TATACAGTGCGATCCTTTTCGACTTATGTATGATTACACAGATCTCTGCCACTTTCTGAAAACCACCTTGGTCAGTGAGCAGCAGTAAACACTTGTTCATTCACAGTCACCAGTGAAGTTTCAGCAAGTGTTATTCGCCATTATTATTGAAGTAATTCATTTCCCATGCCGATGTACTTTCTAGGCTGTGAGGACAGTAGGAAAGCCTGCGGAAATCATGGGTAGTATGGACATTGCTGAAGAGCAGAAGCTGCGTAGAACAGGAAGGTAAATTACTATTAATTTTTTCAAATTACTTATTCCTTTAAACATTCTATTCTCTAGATTGTTTGGCGGATTGCGAGAAGATTTACGAATTAAGGCTTCATGGTACCGATCTGATTTCGTAGACGCTTTCAAAGGGCGCATAAGTCAAATCGTTGCCGCATCAATATTTTTATTCTTTGCTAACGTGTCAAAAATGGTCACGTTCGGTGGCGTCATGGACCATGTTTTGCACAAGCAGATGGTTAGTAGTTTTCTACACCTCGAGAATAACATAAGTGTACACCATGCTTTAGTGTGTGACAAACCGCCGTAAGGCGCTGCTTGGTCTGTTGACTAGCCATTTGAGGATGATAACAACTCTATTCACCATACACAATGTATAGAACGTATGTGTCAGACAGTACTGTATATCAATTTGTGAATCAGTCGCTTTGGCTTCCGGCTGGCTCTTTTATATTTATTCTTCAGATGCCAGTGCTAATGAGGGTTGATCCACCAGCACATTACCAGTGTACCGTCATCGTGGCCACTCAGTTCACTTGACGATGATCCCGTGAGAGTAGTCACGGCTGAACCACCCCATCAGTCATTCGACACGTTATGCCAGGGCCTAAGAGGATCTAGTTATCTAGTTCCACCATCGATCGATTCTGCGCAACTGCTCACAATGGCCTGCTATACCTGTGAGACACCCTATCATGATTACGCAATAAGTGCTGCGTTTCGAATGCAGACAAGCAGCTACCATTGGCATTCAGCAATAGACTTAACTCAGCGACAATCTGCTTCTGTGCTTTATGTTTTATGTCCACTGGGGCTAATGAGTTTTCAGGAGAAGACGATTGCTTAATGTACGTGTGGGGGTGAGCCAAAACGATTCTAGGGGAAGGTACTTCCGCTCTGGTCGTTTGTTAATGGGTCAATCAGCCAAATGTCGAAGAATGTCTGCTCAGCCAGGTGAACCTGTTTTATATTGCCAAAAGAGTGCTGCTAATATATGGGATATACTGTTCAAGAGAACAAGGAAGCCACCATATTTGAATCTCTCATTGATTTTCTGCTTGGATACTAACAGTTGATTCGGCCGTTATCCCTCGATCCCGTTTCAGGCCACACCCACGTTGGTAGTTTTAATGTGACTGACTTCGTTGCAACAATATCTTAATTACAATGTAGGAAATAATGACAGAAATTAACACACTGCATTTATTTATGAAAGAAATACATTGCAATTTCAGTGCTTCGTGGCTAAACCATTTGCAATTATGTATAACATTAATTATGGTAATATTTATCAGCTTATAGTTTAGCCTATCAGTTTCAGTGATTCTAGACGAAGCTTATTTGCAATAACGCGATTACGATGTTTCGCCTGGCAATATGTCAGTCTTAGATTTGTCTACCAGTAGCAAAATTTTGTAAAACATTCGTTCACCTCTTTTGTTATAACCCGTGCTCACATCTGATCATATGCAACAACTGATGAAATGAAATTCCGGTATAGACGGCTAAAATAAGTTCTTGAGAAAAATCGCTGCGCACACTTGTTTGGAGTTGGCCCGCAGTTCAGATATCCAAAAGATCCTTGATGCACAACCGCTGCTTCTCCAGATTCAAGAGCTTCTGTTTTGGCACGTTTGGAGAATTCCTGCAGGAAGGAAGGCGAAACAGTTACTACTTGCCAAACCGACCAATCGAAGACCCTGGTGTGGACCAAAACTAGCTTGGAACAAGTGCTTCGACTGATTGCGCTTCAAACCCGAGTTACTTTCCGCTGAAGCTCAGGTGCTGTTGCAGGACCGGGATCGAACGTGATGTTGCCGCCTTTGCGACTCGGACAAATAAGCTGTTATCGAAACTGACTGACTGAATATTAAATTCGTTGAAAACTGACTTTCGATCAGTCGAAATGTTTTCGTTTTATTGCTACAAATAAATGTGGTGAAAGTAAGGATTTATGATAACATATACGACGGATGAATTTTCAAATTGCCAAATATTTGCACTTGAAATAACGATGTTTTCAGGGTACGATCGAAAACCTGTTGTCTGGTGCCTTCTGTGGTATCGTTTTTGCCCTTTTCGCCGGTCAACCACTGTGCATCTTGTCAGCAACGGGGCCGTGCTTGGTTTTTGAAACGATCATCTTTCAGCTTTGTGAGTAAGTTAAAATGTACCACACGTGAAGGTATGAAAAGATCCGTAATGATATGGCTATCACAGCTTTGCTAGTGTGCAGTCTGGGCTTTTCAATTGGTGAAATTAATTGTCTGATTTCTGCGGCACGACGTACTTTCGGCATGCTGCAATCGCTCGCACAGATCTTATGGGGGCGGTGAGCTTCAGACACAAGGATTCCTTCGAAACATATGCTTCAAACTCCCCAACTGTTCTTGTGTTGCAGCCTGCCACTTTGTCTCCTAACCCTACCACTGTAGCCGCGGTCTGTTTCTTGACCTGGCATTTAATTAGTTGC